ACCAGCTGAACGACAGAGTTTATAAGTCGACCTTTAATTACTGAACATGTAAACGCAGTGAAGCTATCGCTTTCATTGTAACGGCTCTGTATTTACCCAGGTGAGGCATTTTTGAATAAGGCAAACGTAAGGCTTCTAAATTGAATTGCGAATAGTGACCTTGGGTTTGACCTTGATTATCACTTTCAAGGTTGTTTCAAGGTCAAATATTGTTTTTATAAGCAAAAGGCATCCTTTGACACCCGCAGACAAAAAGCTCTACTTCTAAGAAATATTCCTAGAAGTTTAATGTGATTATTGATGAATAAAATCAAGGTCATGCATTTTGAAATTTTAAGCAATGTTGACATTGGACTTGACCTGAAGCCTAACCTCCAACGTCAAACTAGTACATGAGAAAGCAAAATTTGCCATTGTTGCTCTCAGAGAGCAGAATTCTCAGTTAATAAATAGTTGGCCTTGAAAGGACTGTGAAGGTGAGGTTAAAGGTTGTATCCAAGGTCTCCGAAGGATTCGTGGTTAAAAGACTTCTCTTAATAATTTTTGTAAGCAATATTTCTATAATAAAATTTTCCTTAGCCTCACCCATTCGACCTTAGTTTGATGTTTAGAGGTGACCTTCACTCTAGATTGTATTACATATTTAGACGTAGAATTTTCTTTTATTTTGATTGCCGGTGCCAAAAGCGGATTTTAATTCAACGTTGACTTTGAAGGTGATGATCAAGGTCATCATTCAACGCCTCATTCTTATAGACATGACCTTAATCTTTTCAAAAATACCTTACATGTAAAGTTAACGAAATATTTGCTTCCATTGTTTCAGTCGATTTTATTCTAATAAATATTCATCGAATAAAAGATGAAATTCTAACGGGAAGTCTTGAATTCAATTTAGAGAGCTGGAATCATCTGATACGTGACCTCAAGTATCCTTATATCTACCAGATTTTCCACTATGATATTGCCAGCGGAATTGTACTGATGGTGTGTATTGAAAGCTTCAAAGTTGCCATTAATTATATGCAGTTATAATTTGGCCTTTTAATTTCAGATAGTTCAGACACAATTTCAAATAGCTGCCACTTATATGGACATTTTTATTATAATCAATAGTATTCTGCTGACTGAGAGAGTTAGTAAGGTATCAGACAGAATCGAAGAATTGTCCCAGGATATGGTAAGCAAAAATCAGTTGTAAACCTGTGTTTGCAAAGTTTGTAAATATACTAAGTGACATATAAATCCGAACACACAGTTTAAATAGTTTTATTTTAATAAAAGTTGGTGAATGTATTTATCTTACTGTAAATAACAAGTGAAAAAATTTTCAGCCTTATCTGTTGGACATTCCGGTTTTTATACTGCTTTTTTTTAATTCACTAACGCTCTAAAAATGAATATTTCAGCCGCAGTAAAGAATCAACGTTGGCGGATTTTGGTTCTTGACATCCTTTACGATCGGTTACGATGCCTAGAGTACGGAGACCTGTACGATTTCGTCAACTTAGTGAGTTTGATAGGGGCCGTATAGTGGGACTTCGGGAAGCTGGACTTTCTTTTCGGGCAATTGCAGTTAGAGTGTAAAGAAGTGTAGACACTGTGGTTAGGTGTTGTCAGGCATGGCTTCGAGAAGGCCGTACGCAAAGAGCAAGGGGCACTGGACGCCGCCGTAGAACAACAGACCGTGAAGATCGCCGCCTAAGATTATTGGCCTTAAGGGACCGTTTCTCCACTACCAGGTCCATTGCAAATGAATGGTTTGCAGAACACGGAAGACCTATTGGCATGCGAAGTGTTTACCGACGAATGAGAAGCTTTGGCTTGTTTTCATACGGGCCACACTGGGTCCTCCCTTTAACTCGAGAACACCGACGTAATCGACTTGAGTGGTGCAGACAACGGTCACTCTGGGATCAGGAATGGAACAGTATTGTCTTTAGTGACGAGTCTCGATTTTGTTTAGGCAAGCACGATCGTCGTGCCAGGATTAGAAGGCGACGTGGCGAAAGGAGGAATCCACAGTTTTTTGTTGAAAGACATGTTCATCACACTGTTAGAGTTATGGTTTGGGGTGCTATAGCTTATGGTTCCAGGTCACCTTTAATCTTCATCAGAGGTAATATGAACGCGCAGCGTTATATCCACCAAGTTCTAGAACCCCATCTTTTACCCTATCTTGACACCCTGGCAGACCCAACTTTCCAACAAGATAATGCCCGACCACATGTTGCAAGAGTCACAATAGACTTCTTTCAACTTAATGATGTCACATTGTTACCATGGCCGCCAAGATCTCCCGACTTATCCCCAATTGAGCACGTGTGAGATATGATGGGTAGGAGATTGCTCAATTTGCAACGTCCTCCTCAGATTCTAGAAGCACTTCGAGAGAAGTTGGTGGTTGCCCGGAATGAGATACCACAGGAGGACATTGACCACCTGATCAGAAGCATGCTTAGGCGCGTTGGAGAATGCGTAGCACATCAGGGTGCATCCACACATTATTAAAGGTCAAAGGGATTTAAAGCAGTCCAATCATTTTGAAATTTTTATCATTTACTTATTATGCTTCATTAAGTACCTACTTATAAAAAATTTTATTAAAATAAAACCATTTAAACTGGATATTCGGATTTATATGTCACTTAGTATACATATCTTTTATTAATCAGCAGAATTCGTTAATGTCAGTTTTAAACTAGATCTTCTGTCACATTCATTCGTATTATCAATACTCTAGGAAGAAATGGGATGAATTTCAGCTCGTCGATTTGAATTATTTGAGAAAAAAGTCAGTTTTGAACATGTACAACAGAGATTTGACGGATTCAGTCAGTCAGAAAGGCCAATCTAATTTGTCCCTATACATTTTTCCCCTGCCCTATCGGTAGTTACTGTCTATCTGGCGACGTTGTCCCTTTCCACGCCCACCGCGGCACTTCTGCAGCGAGTTATTGTTCATTCTTTGCATGTTTTTTTTGCGTTGCAGTACGGATAGACTGGTCAGCCGAACCGGTACGCCGGGCGGTGAGCTTAGATAGCAAGAGTACGCGGATCGACAACATTTCACTATGATTCTAAGTTTTAAAGGCAAATATACGGGTTATATCTATGATGTGTGAAATATGGATAATATACTAAGTGACATATAAATCCGAACACCCAGTTTAAATGGTTTTATTTTAATAAAAGTTGGTGAATGTATTTATCTTACTGTAAGTAACAAGTGAAAAAATTTTCAGCCTTATCAGTTGGACATTCCGGTTTTTATACTGCTTTTTTTTAATTCACTAACGCTCTAAAAACGAATATTTCAGCCGCAGTAAAGAATCAACGTTGGCGGATTTTGGTTCTTGACATCCTTTACGATCGGTTACGATGCCTAGAGTACGGAGACCTGTACGATTTCGTCAACTTAGTGAGTTTGATAGGGGCCGTATAGTGGGACCTCGGGAAGCTGGACTTTCGTTTCGAGCAATTGCAGTTAGAGTGCAAAGAAGTGTAGACACTGTGGTTAGGTGTTGTCAGGCATGGCTTCGAGATGGCCGTACGCAAAGAGCAAGGGGCACTGGACGCCGCCGTAGAACAACAGACCGTGAAGATCGCCGCCTAAGATTATTGGCCTTAAGGGACCGTTTCTCCACTATCAGGTCCATTGCAAATGATTGGTTTGCAGAACACGAAAGACCTATTGGCATGCGAAGTGTTTACCGACGAATGAGAAGCTGTGGCTTGTTTTCATACCGGCCACACTGGGACCTCCCTTTAACTCGAGAACAGCGACGTAACCGCACTCTGGGATCAGGAATGGAACAGTATTGTCTTTAGTGACGAGTCCCGGTTTTGTTTCGGCATGCACGATGGTCGTGCCAGGGTTAGAAGGCGACGTGGTGAAAGGAGGACTCCACAGTTTTTTGTTGAAAGACATGTTCATCACACTGTTGGAGTTATGGTTTTGGGTGCTATAGCTTATGGTTCCAGGTCACCTTTAATCTTCATCAGAGGTAACATGAACGCGCAGCGTTATATCCACGAAGTTCTAGAACCCCATCTTTTACCCTATCTTGACACCCTGGCAGATCCAACTTTCCAACAAGATAATGCCCGACCACATGTTGCAAGAGTCACAATAGACTTCTTTCAACATAATGATGTCACATTGTTACCATGGCCGCCAAGATCTCCCGACGTATCCCCAATTGAGCACGTGTGGGATATGATGGGTAGGAGATTGCTCAATTTGCAACGTTCTCCTCAGACTCTAGAAGCACTTCGAGAGGAGTTGGTGGTTGCCTGGAATGAGATACCACAGGAGGACATTGACCACCTGATCAGAAGCATGCCTAGGCGCGTTGGAGAATGCGTAGCACATCAGGGTGCATCCACACATTATTAAATGTCAAAGGGCTTTAAAGCAGTGCAATTATTTTGAAATTTTTATCATTTACTTATTATGCTTCATTAAGTACTTATACAAAGTTTTACTAAAATAAAACCATTTAAACTGGGTGTTCGGATTTATATGTCACTTAGTATAGGTTTCATAGGAGCTGGGAGAGTATAAATATACTAACTTAAAACAATTCCATACACCCCCAACCCACAATTTCATACACTACAAAAATTCGAAAAGCGAAAAGCGATTCTTATTTTTCTCGTAATTCTGTCCCTGGCTCCGCCTCCAATGGATCGATTTTCAAAACTACTACGCGTTTTCGTTCTGGCCATCATAGTGATCTACATATCGTATAACATTCTAAAACCGCAATATCTTATTTCCGAAATTTTCAATACTTTTTCGCCCAGTAGCCCAGGAAGTAAAAATTAGCGAGTTCTTGATGCATGGAGAATGAGCGACACGCACATATATCTGATGAGTACGTATAGCATGCTCAGAATGCGACAGTACCATGGTGGGTTGACTTTCCATTAAACCTTTGGCCTAGATATTTTTTTTAATAAAAAACTGTTTTTGTGTACAAAAAGTTGTATTTTAGATGGCTTCTGAAGATCAATGGATGGAAGTCCGAGAAGATTATAACCGCCTGGAGTGTCATTGTAAAATTGTAAATTCCGAATTAGGCTACGCCTACTTGATCTCATTCGCTGGTAATCTCGGTGGAGTACTGATACAACTCTACAATACGCTTAACTTCAAAGCGACTGTTATTGGGTTGACGTATCTTTACTATTCTTTTGGATTTGTACTCACGAGGATACTTTGCGTTTGCTTTTTTGGCTCCAATGTCAATGAACAAGCTAAGAGATCCTTGATGTTTCTCTATAGAGCTCCGAACAGTGCTTATTATACAGAGGTGAGTTTAATTAGCTTTCTAACTCCTTTACGGTATACTTATTGATCTTTTTCTAGATTGATAGGCTGATTAGACAAATCAGCCGACAAAACCTGACTTTGAATGGTTTGAATTTCTTCCAGATTAAAAGGAACTTGATCCTACAGGTATATTTCGCTGTTACAAAGTTTCACACTTACTAGTATCTCGGGAGATAAAGAAAGCGAATCTCCTCAAAATCGTTTATATTGTAACGAAAACACTGTTTTTGCTGTCCAAAGTCTTCAAAGTCTATTGTTTATTCCTCTTACACTAATTTATTACAACACTTGCAACAAATTTCTACGCATGCAAACTGGACTACAGCTTGTGGTGACTCATCGGACTGTCTCGACTCTGACTGACTGCTTCAGGCCATCAGGTCGGTATTTCCAGGAGCGATGGAAATCGCTTGCAAGCCGTCTGGATGGCAGTAGATTCATCTTCAAACGTATGAAGTGTTCGCGATGGCGCAGTGAACGTTCCAGGACGTGACCACGCTCCATACATTGTCGCGTAATAATGGTTGCCTAAGCGTCGATATTGTGAAGCCGTTTCCTCGTTACTCAAGGTCCCAGTTATGAGGGCGTTGCATTGTTCTTTCTTGATTTTGTTTGAAATGCGATTTCAGAATAGAAAAGTACATCATCATTGCTACTTTTTATCATCAAATTTATTTTTTCTTACAAACGCCATATTGGATTTATGCACAGTAGGATACAGCTTTTTGAGACTATACATTGGTATTGAGGAATCTGAGTTAATTCAAGAAAACTAATGTTTTCATAGTTGGCTTTGAAAATGACAGTTTATCACATGTTTATTTGCTTAAATCATTGATGCTTTTTATCGGCTATAAGAAGTGTTATTTTAGCCTACATGGCACGTCAAAGTAGTATTCGAATGCAAAATGGGTGCATCGGTTTAGATATGGTAGGTATAATATGTTCTTAGGCAGCCGCTTTATCGTCAAAGCCTTTATTTACTCCTAAGTGTTTCCATAAATTGCATAAAATATACTAAGTGACATATAAATCCGAACACGCAGTTTAAATGGTTTTATTTTAATAAAATTTTGTATAAGTACTTAATGAAGCATAATAAGTAAATGATAAAAATTTCAAAATGATTGCACTGCTTTAAAGCCCTTTGACCTTTAATAATGTGTGGATGTACCCTGATGTGTTACGCATTCTCCAACGCGCCTAGGCATGCTTCTGATCAGGTGGTCAATGTCCTCCTGTGGTATCTCATTCCAGGCAACCACCAACTCCTCTCGAAGTGCTTCTAGAGTCTGAGGAGGACGTTGCAAATTGAGCAATCTCCTACCCATCATATCCCACACGTGCTCAATTGGGGATAAGTCGGGAGATCTTGGTGGCCATGGTAACAATGTGACATCATTATGTTGAAAGAAGTCTATTGTGACTCTTGCAACATGTGGTCGGGCATTATCTTGTTGGAAAGTTGGATCTGCCAGGGTGTCAAGATAGGGTAAAAGATGGGGTTCTATAACTTCGTGGATATAACGCTGCGCATTCATGTTACCTCTGATGAAGATGAAAGGTGACCTGGAACCATAAGCTATAGCACTCCAAACCATAACTCCAACAGTGTGATGAACATGTCTTTCAACAAAAAACTGTGGATTCCTCCTTTCACCACGTCGCCTTCTAACCCTGGCACGACCATCGTGCATGCCTAAACAAAATCGAGACTCGTCACTAAAGACAATACTGTTCCATTCCTGATCCCAGAGTGACCGTTGTCTGCACCACTCAAGGCGATTACGTCGGTGTTCTCGAGTTAAAGGGAGGACCCAGTGTGGCCGGCATAAAAACAAGCCAAAACTTCTCATTCGTCGGTAAACACTTCGCATGCCAATAGGTCTTCTGTGTTCTGCAAACCAATCATTTGCAATGGACCTGGTAGTGGAGAAACGGTCCCTCAAGGCCAATAATCTTAGGCGGCGATCTTCACGGTCTGTTGTTCAACGGCGGCGTCCAGTGCCACTTGCTCTTTGCGTACGTCCTTCTCGAAGCCATGCCTGACAACACCTAACCACAGTGTCTACACTTCTGTGCACTCTAACTGCAATTGCCCGAAAAGAAGGTCCAGCTTCCCGAAGTCCTACTATACGGCCCCTATCTAACTCACTAAGTTGACGAAATCGTTCAGGTCTCCGTACTCTAGGCATCGTAACCGATCGTAAAGGATGTCAAGAACCAAAATCCGTCAACGTTGATTCTTTACTGCGGCTGAAATATTCATTTTTAGAGCGTTAGTGAATTAAAAAAAGCAGTATAAAAACCGGAATGTCCAACTGATAAGGCTGAAAATTTTTTCACTTGTTATTTACAGTAAGATAAATACATTCACCAACTTTTATTAAAATAAAACCATTTAAACTGGGTGTTCGGATTTATATGTCACTTAGTATAGTACTACCTTAAATCAGTTAATTATAAATTACTTTTTTAGACATTTGATGATCTGTAATATCAATCTATGTCATGATGCATCATTAGCATTGGAAATAGGGACTGTTTAGCTACGCCTAGTTCATAAAAATTGAAAAAATGCTTGGCTCAGGATATTATGATGATTCCAGACCTACTCAGGAAATTCCATTTTTGTAAATAACTCAGGTTTAGAGACGTCAGTGTACGACATATTGCACATTTTTGGAATCAGAATTGAAAACTCTATTTACCTGTGCAGAAATCCATTATGGCGTCTACCAGGAAAAATAAAAACGACTTTGAGGAGATCGAGTTCTTTCATCTATCTTCGGAAGTACTGCGTCACTCCGTTTTTTCCGAAATGGGAACTAGAATATCAGGGTGTAGATTTCCCATTTTTTACAAAGCATCTAATTTGAAAATGATGGAGGAGACGGCGATGTGGTTCTGATGATTGTCAATAAGTATCAAACACAATGTATATTTTTCAGATTGCTGGATCTATTGTGACGTATGAATTGGTGCTGGTCCAGTTTGCTGGAGAGGTTATAAAGGATGACTCGACATTAAAAAATAAGACTAATTCCTTATAAACGCCCTTGGTTTCATAATGGTAAGGAGTTGAGTGTACATGTTTTACGAGGAATGCAAAAAATGCAGGACAACTGTACAATCTCAAGGATTTTAGTCAATTTTGGGATAAGTTCTGTCTTGTTTAGTGATTATAATATTACAATTTAAAGTTATTGTCATTAAATTGGTTAAAATAAATACAAATGTACCACAACTTTTTTTTATTTGCTCGGTGATCGGCTACCATAGGCAAAAGGTCCCCAATCATTACTCCAAAGGTCCTGTGTACATGCCTCTCAAGACCAAATCCATCGTGCGTACCTAGGACGAATCGGGATTCGTCGCTGAAGATGACATTATGCCATTCAGCCTCCCTATGTTGCCGTCCTCTGCTCCAGTTCAAACGTTGAGGACAGTGGTCCGCAGTCAGAGGAAGCACTAACCGTGGACCGTATCGAAGAAGTCCAAAGATTCGAATGAGGCAGCAGAGTGTATGCCTTCTTCTCCAAGCCATAGGTCTGAGCATACGTTGAATCATTCCGAACTATCAAGAATAAACAGTTCGTAGGAAAAAAATACGACAAACATCCATCAAAAAGTAGTACTCATTATTTCTCTAGTGTATTTATAAACATGGTAGACTATAATTTGAGAAAGATTAATTCCCAGTGGATGATTTGCTACGCTATGGTTGTTTTTTTCGATGAATTGATTATACGAAAATTTTTGTTAGGACCACCTCTTTCAATAGTTAATAGCAAATAAATTAATATTTGCTCTAGGACTTGTCCCTTTCTCTCTAGCTTTTTGTTGGATAATACTTACGTCATGTCGTCCATAAACATCAGCTAGCTAAGCCTCGGTTCAAAGGACTCTTAACGACTTCTGGATTAGTCATTTAATGAGTTAAATCATAATGATTGATCATTTCCATATGACTTTTTTCACTTCTTTTTTACGGGGTAAGTAATACGTACGCACGTGTCCGCTGATATTTGACTTGGTCGCCATATTTTATGTCATTACGTGATCACTAAGCCAGTGTAATCTAAGAGTTCCATCCGATCTAACAAATAAAACTTATCCTACCTAACTGAAACGACATGAGACATGAGGTTTCGTTCAGCAACCATTCAATTATAGTGTCCTAGGTCTGTGAGAATAATATTTTCTTGTTGATCAAACGTGTTGGATCGATTTTCATTTGTTTAGTAGTGCAAGGATGTATTTATAGTTAGAAGAAGCAAGCCTACGATCTGTTTGTCTTCAAAATCTCAGTCTTTAGTCAGGATGAAAGTTTTGACAGTTCTGTCATTCCATTCATACGTTTAGTGCTATTTTTTAAAGGTGGTAGCATTTGCAGATAATTGCGGATGAAGACGATTTCAGGACATGGTAGTTCTTGCATAGTTTGCAAATGCCGACACAAGCCTAATGAAGGCAGACCTTTTCACCGGTAAGTATACTAAGTGACATATAAATCCGAACACCCAGTTTAAATGGTTTTATTTTAATAAAAGTTGGTGAATGTATTTATCTTACTGTAAATAACAAGTGAAAGAATTTTCAGCCTTATCAGTTGGACATTCCGGTTTTTATACTGCTTTTTTTTAATTCACTAACGCTCTAAAAATGAATATTTCAGCCGCAGTAAAGAATCAACGTTGGCGGATTTTGGTTCTTGACATCCTTTACGATCGGTTACGATGCCTAGAGTACGGAGACCTGTACGATTTCGTCAACTTAGTGAGTTTGATAGGGGCGGTATAGTGGGACTTCGGGAAGCTGGACTTTCTTTTCGGGCAATTGCAGTTAGAGTGCAAAGAAGTGTAGACACTGTGGTTAGGTGTTGTCAGGCATGGCTTCGAGCAGGCCGTACGCAAAGAGCAAGGAGCACTGGACGCCGCCGTAGAACAACAGACCGTGAAGATCACCGCCTAAGATTATTGGCCTTAAGGGACCGTTTCTCCACTACCAGGTCCGTTGCAAATAAATGGTTTGCAGAACACGGAAGACCTATTGGCATGCGAAGTGTTTACCGACGAATGAGAAGTTTTAGCTTGTTTTCATATCGGCCACACTGGGTCCTCCCTTTAACTCGAGAACACCGACGTAATCGCCTTGAGTGGTGCAGACAACGGTCACTCTGGGATCAGGAATGGAACAGTATTGTCTTTAGTGACGAGTCTCGATTTTGTTTAGGCATGCACGATGGTCGTGCCAGGGTTAGAAGGCGACGTGGTGAAAGGAGGAATCCACAGTTTTTTGTTGAAAGACATGTTCATCACACTGTTGGAGTTATGGTTTGGAGTGCTATAGCTTATGGTTCCAAGTCACCTTTAATCTTCATCAGAGGTAACATGAACGCGCAGCGTTATATCCACGAAGTTCTAGAACCCCATCTTTTACCCTATCTTGACACCCTGGCAGATCCAACTTTCCAACAAGATAATGCCCGACCACATGTTGCAAGAGTCACAATAGACTTCTTTCAACATAATGATGTCACATTGTTACCATGGCCACCAAGATCTCCCGACTTATCCCCAATTGAGCACGTGTGGGATATGATGGGTAGGAGATTGCTCAATTTGCAACGTCCTCCTCAGACTCTAGAAGCACTTCGAGAGGAGTTGGTGGTTGCCTGGAATGGGATACCACAGGAGGACATTGACCACCTGATCTTATTATGCTTCATTAAGTACTTATACAAAATTTTATTAAAATAAAACCATTTAATCTGGGTGTTCGGATTTATATGTCAATTATTATATACGTTAATACAACGTTGTCACTTTGGTAGGCATTTGCAGTCAAGTGAGCCAAAAGTATTTACTGAAGCTATGCAATTTTAGCGACAAACAATGAAATCTAAACATATTCGATTTCATTGATTTGTACGATTCCTTTAAGTTTCAGTATTCTGACGCTGAGATACTAATAGAGACGTACATATAAGATCACAATGAAGCTGCCAAAGAAAGTGATTTTTTCTAAAGAACTACAAGACAATTGTTTTCAAAATGCAATGGTGTGGCCGCTGTGGATAGCTCAATGTTTCGGATTTTTCCCAACTGTTGTAAAAAATCCGCCTAGGTTTTCGTGGTTTAGTTGGAGAATGGCCTATTTCCTGCTTACTTTGTCTCTACTGTTGCAAGAATTGATAAAGTTGCTGATCTTGTTTGGTCCTAAGACCTGGACATTCTTATCTGTAGGTAAGTCGTACTGGAGGTTTGGGTTTGTTAACTTTATCATATTTTTCCTCAGAAGCTTAAATGTAAGTTGGGAATGCCTGTGTGTAAAGGAATACAGAAATGGATATAGTAGGAGTTCAAGATCATCCAGTGATGGCCTTAAGTATGACATTGAAGGTCAAATCGTGCTTATGTTGATTATTTGACCTCCGGAACGGATAGAGCGGAACTTTTACCTACTTTGAGTAAAAACCGTTTTGCCTGATTAAAACAGCCTTGTTTGAAAAGGTTTCCGGGATCCCTCTAATGGTAGGACAGAAATAAGAGCCCAAAGGTATCGGTGGTTTCGGATTTTTTACTGGTTAGTCGTTGAACATGACGTCGAAGCCACATCAAGGTTAAGACAACTTAGCATTGCATTCTATACTTTTGATTCTGGAAATGGATAGAGGAAATTATTTTGACCTTGAACATCTTAGTTAAAGTTATCATAAGATGTCCTTGTTTAGTAAGATCCTGGTAATAAGCTTTTAGCTTTGGCTGTTGACTGATCTTTGAAGTCAAACCTTGCCCTGTGGCCACGGAAGTGGAGCGAAAACATTTACGTTCAGACATGAAAATTGTTTTGACATCGAACGTCCAGGTCAAGGTAAATCTACAAAAACTCATGTTTAAAAAGAATTTAGAGGTTCGTCTGAAAAGAAAGCAAAAATAAGAACCGAAAGGCAATAGACTTGGACGATTTCCTTTGGTTCCACTGTTGTTCTTGAAAGTGTCCTTTCCTCGATTGGCAAATCAAGGCTTAGAATTTTTTTTGCATGGTACCCTATACTTTTGTTCACCTAAGGCCGTATCTGAAAATAAAATCTTGCACTGTATCCGTTCCAAAAGTTAAAAGTACAGCGTTCCATTCAAAATGAATCGCCTTGGATTTGATATATCCTTGAAGGTCATGCCCAAGGTGAAATTTAACGTCACTAGTGAAACATTTCCAAATATCTTGCCCCTCCTGGACTTTATGATCATCTTGTATAATTATAACGATAAAGGTTTTACTCCTTGCAGACATAATGGTTCTTTTTCTAAATGGTGTTCTACGATGTCTCACAATGCTGAAAGCAGCGGTCGGTTGGCGAGATTTCGTGAAGAAATGGAAAGCACTGGAACTAAGAATGAAATGCTATAAAGTCTGTGGAAATCTGAAGAGAAAATTGCTCACAATATTCTGCACTATCATGCTGATGGGAGCCAGTAAGATAACGTTTTCTCGATAAAAAGGGAGATATCTGTATATATGTTTTGATACAACTGTTTTAGAGCACGTATTGATTACTCAATCTGTGCTTAACGGCTTTTATTGACATCCATGATACTCAAGTAAGGCGTCATACAAGATGTAGTATTTGTGATTGTGATATCCGCGTCTTGTGGTCGCCAATCATAGGCACAGAGTCCCTTAAGCAAGTTGGTAGGTACACTCGCAAAAATCAGCCTTCCACTGATATCACTTTTGTCAAGCAATTGAAAACAGACGGTGTGAAGCCTCACACACTACATCTTGCATGGCGGTCAAGACTCTACAAGCAAAACATACGATCAGCATGAGTATCTATGCCAGCCTTAATCCAAATTCAGCCTAACACGCCTCAAGCGACATTTTGCATAGCTTTTTGGAAAGCTACCATACTCCGGCACTGAAACGGAAGAGAAGCAGAAAATATTATCGTACACGACTATCAAAGCGGCGAGCATCGAATTCCCCAATTCAAAAGCACTCCACACTAGCAGAAGCGTACGAAGTGTTATGCTACTTTCTTCCATTGTGGTGTTCGAGTATAGGAATGACAGTTGCATTCGCGTCAGTGAAAAATCGTTCAGAAGTTTTAATATTACCCAATCGTTAGACGCACACAATGTAACGATCATCCAAAATCGTACTTCAACTTTTCTGTCACCATTTGTAATATACTACGATACTGACAGCCTGATTTAAAGTGCTGCATGT